GGAGCGGAGCGGGGGCGCCCCCTGCGGGCTGCTCCGCGCCCCCCGCGCGCTGCTCCGCGCCCCCCGCGCGCTGCTTGGCCGCGGGGTCCGCTCCGCATCCCTCCTCCTGCTCCTCTCCCTCCTCCGCGCTGCAGCACGGAGGGCTGCGCGGGGGGAGGCGCATCGCCCCTGCCTTGCCCTGCTCCGAAAGAGTAACCTCAATCCTGCAATTTGTCGCGTTTGGCTTAAGTGCAGCCTCTAATTGCAGGGGACGATGCCTGTTGCTCCCGCTGGTCGTTTCAACCCGCAGCATCTTTAACTCGGCCTCCCAAGCACTCCCTTCCCCTCGCTCGCACTCGCAGCTCTTCACCTGGAGCACCCCGTGCACTAGCTCCCTGCCCTTATGAGGCTACCATCCTATAGCAAGGGTAATACAGCTGTTTCATCTGGCTCTTATCTCGTGGCACTGTTTAACTTGGTGTGCTTTGGGTTTCCCCATCAGGGCTACAGCAAAGGAAGACTTTGTTAGTCTTACTTACTAGTATTACTTACTAATAACAGTAAGTAATAACTAAGTAATAGTAAGTAATTACTAGTAATACTAGTACTTACTAGTAAGTATATTCTTTATTAGTTACTTTCTGCATGTCGCAAATGGGGGAGATGAACCAAGTAGTTGTACGAGTCCATCCAAGAGGCAAGTTTCGGAGCCAGGAATACAGCGCTGAAGTGGTAGGGCCACCATCACCAGACAGCTCTTACTTCCTTGTTTATTAAACTATCCGGTAATGTAAGTGCACATTTAGTAACAGATGTGAAACAGAGCTCAAAAGCACTCACGTTCAGTGGATGTTCCTCCTTTGCATCTCTTGCAGCCCAAAGCTGACTGAGATGCAGTATGAATGAAATAAATGATTTAAAGGCCTTCTTAATGCAAAATTAAATAGAAGTTGGATCAGAAAAATTCCTCGGTGATCCAGGTCTCTCCGCAAGAACACAATAAGCATTTAGGAGGCTGGGCCATTCAAGAGTCTGTCCAGAGGAGAAATGGGAACCTTTCCTTCCGCATGTGCTGTGCCAGCTGCAGACGTTCAGGAGCAGATCTTAAAATAGTTGTACTGCATATCATTCTTAGACAAAAAAATTAGAAGGCAGATGTGAAAGCAGTAGTGTGGTTTATGCTTTGCTTGTTAAAAATAAATGCTGAGGCTTTAAGCCTGCCCTATTTGTTTGGTTTATACAATTTAGAGGGATTAGCTTTTTCCATCCTCCTAAGAGAGCAACTGGAGAGCGTCTATTTTGCATCTGGGGAAATGTCTGTTAGTCTCGAGGCATGACATTTGTTTTGTGTCTAAGGAATTCACCCTGCATGGGGCTGTCAAATTAAACACGATAACTGGCTTTTCCAAAGCAGCAGATAATTTATTGGTCATTAAAAATCCTAGTCTTTGTGCAGTCTGCTTGTGATGAAATCTCTTATTAATATTAGGGCATAAGAATTTAGTAAACACTAATTGTGAACACAGGCAAAAGGTTTTAGCCTCTTAGGAAGGACTGGCCTGGTCCAGGACCCCTTCAGTTGTAGCGAACTGAAGTTGCAGAGAACTGCTGAGGCTGGAGTGCTTTTGTTCTCCAGTGCTGTAAAGTCCATCATAGTTGTCCACGTTTCAGGTTTCTACAACTTCAGAAACAAACTTAGGGCATGAAGCTTATTAAGACTGAGAAGAGGAAAAGGTGACAGAGACCTGATTTTGCAAAGTCACTTAGGAGTCTGTAAGTCCTATAGAAAACCATGGCATTTCATCTTCTAAATGCCTTTATGCAAGCGAGTCCAAGCACCTACAGGCTGTAGAGCAGATTGTGTTGGTGGTGGCATAGGCAAGGAGACACAGACCCCTGGGTAAGGTCTCTGCTGAAAGGAGTGGATTAGTAAACCCAGACTTTGTCCAGCAGGGTTTCCTGCGATGGAAATGTTATACTGCCCGTATTGATACTTTAGAAGAGCAGCCTGGTCAGCAGCAAAGATCAAAGACACCAGCTCTAGAGCAGAGCACACTCAGGCGAGAGCTAGACAGCCACCTCCAGCTGCCACCCATCAGAGAAGCACCAGGTCGCTCCGTAGCTCTTCCTTGCAGCAGTCTCCTGAGGACTTGGTTACTGGTAGAAAACCTGCTGAATAAATAATGTGTCAACGCAAATATTTGCAGCTATTACTAAAGGTTCGCAGGGAAACGTTCTGATTGTTTTCTTCATTTTGACAGAGTATCTTCCAAATGTTTCTGTGTTGGCTTCAGGAAATGTACATAAATCTGTTCAGTTATGTTAATCTAGCACCGTGAAAAGGGATTGCTAACTTTGTCATTAAATTATAGATGAACTTCGCTGTTAGTATGGGTTATAGTCATTATGACGTATTGCTGTTTTGAATTAATATTACATTTTCTCATATTTTCTCCTGTGCGTCATGAAACTGAGATGGTAATAATGTGTTTCGTGACTGTATGTTGAGGATTTATAACTTCTGTATTTCTCTCAACCATTTTCCCACTGTATATGAGAAAAATCTAATGCTTTTTTTTTTTTTTTTTTAAGATGCAGACTTCGATATTCAACAAGTGACTATTAATAGTGTAGTAAGGCCACAATCTTGCAAAAGCAACAATCTTGCAGACATTTATTTGTGTTTAAACTTACCTGGACAAGCTTAATGGATTAATTCCCTCTTAGTATCACTTGATACAGGAGTAGGTAATCCCTCAGCACTCCCTATTCTTGTGATTGCTTATGCATGTGCAGGTATGATGGTGATACATGTACAAAGTTCAGTGACATGGCTCAGCAGGAGCTAGACTGGGCACAGCAGCAAGGCACAAACATACATTTTATAGGGCATGGCAAATGGGTACCCTTCATATTACCTAAATTAGAAGGGCCAAATTTCTACTCATCTGTATTTCATCTCACTCATGCCAGTGGCTAGGCTGTATCCTGGCATTCTGCCTTGAAAAGGGTCACACTGTGAATGCCCACTCGCTGGACTGCAGTGGCCACTGCCTTCATCCAGTTCAGTTCCTTATTATCATTCTTTCTTTTTGCTTAATACTTGCTTTTCTGCAGTTGTTACTTCTCCCTTCACAGAGATCTTTTAACAGGTTCTTATTGATATAAAACTAATTGGTATATAACCTTAAAGAATGCAGAGTGAATATGTCTGCTGCACATATTTAAAAGGAATACTTACTTGCTGATATCCAAAGAACTCCAGCTTCTACACTGAAATAAATTTAGAGAAATGCTTAAATAATCTGCATAATATTCTCCATACTAGCTCGTACTCTTCTAATAACAAGAATTGTGTGTTGGTTTTAATTAAATACATTTATAGAATTAAAAACTACTGGTAACCATTCCAACAAATTTTGCAACAAATCTGCGATACTGGACTTTATTAATGAATGAGTTACACTGACATGTCATCTTAATATGTTACAGATGTATTCATGTTTCTTGAAAAGACCAGTGGAAATTATCATTAATTCATTTGCTATTCATGTTAATGAATGCTAGCCCTTATTCTTCCTCAGTGGTGTTATGACTGCAATCTGGATTGCCGTAGGGACCCCACTGTAATTCATCATTGCTCCAGTGTTCAAATTCTCTGGTGGAACTAGATATTGATGTCGACAACATCTGGAATTTTCTGTCATCTTTTTTTCCACTTCCTTCCTTCTGTTTAATCAAGAGAATAGGAAGAGGAAATTGCTGCCATTATTAATATAGTCAAGAAAGTGAATGATAGGTAAGGCTCTGGAGGATACTTGGACCTACAGTGTAGGAGATACAGACTATCTTGCTTATTTTGTTTGTCTCTGTATATAAGAACTCCTCATTAGCAGATGCTGCAGAAGCTGCTAGTGGGAGCTGGGTGGGACATTCCAGGCACAAGGAATTGGACCTACCCGGACATTTTGATATCAGCCTTGAGTACAGGTCCTCACTTGTACTGTGGCCCAGTTTCTATACAGAGAGCAGACCTGTTCACAAGAGATGAGGAGCAACTTTTTAATGTTAGGAGTCAGGACACTCCCATTCAATGTCATGCTCCATGCTAAAGCCAAGGAGCAAATAGAAGGAGGGATGCTGTACCACAGGGAACTGTCCTAGCTACCACAGTGCATATAGATACATGAATATAATCCATTCTTTCATGTTATTCTTTACTTGCTGTAGAAAAGAAGTAATGGATCAGACACAGGCTGCTGTCAAGGAGCCTCCATGTCTTTCTTGCTTGATCTCTCAGACACAGCTGAGGTAGACAGCTGAAATTGGTAACCCTGTAACTAGGATGAAGACAACTATAGCAGTCCTTGCCACAAAAAATATTTAATTATATACATCTGTATGAGAAAATGAAAGCATGCTGCCTCAAAACAGTGTGGTCTTCAAGAATAGCATACTATCTTACTAGTTTGCGGAGAGCTGGATTCAGAGCTCATCATCAAGAAAGCAAGAAATTTGACTTGATGGGTTTATCACTACCACTGGCTAATAGGGTAAAGATAAAGGGGGAAAAAGTGAGGAGGTTGCCAGCACTATAGTAATATTTTTAGTGTTTCTTTAGATATACAGAGTTGAAATGTTTCCTTTTAGGTGGATAGTCTATCACATTAATAGAAAATATTGTTTCTTCTTTTTCCCAAGAGAACCAGTTTATT